GATTTTTGTACCACTGAACTTAAAGGGTGTGTGGGTGTGGGTGTGGTTTAAGACAAGACGAACAGTCGCACCCACACCCTATTACTTTTAGTACCTTATATCAGATTTTGGTATTTTTTATCATGATCTTCACTAATGCTTCCTTCAAAAGGTGAGTTTTGCAGGATTTCTTTGATGCTTTTTGGTTTTTTCAGATTTTGACTGTTTGATGCACGGGAAATTATAGGGAGTTAGCTTTAGGCGTTCTCGGTAGATTTAGGGTGTAGAGAGTGCTCGGGAATGATCTATTGGAAGTATGATGTCTGTAATTTTCGATGCGATTTGGAGTAGGTATTTTTGGCTGTTTCCATTGTTTAGTGTGACTTCTATGGAAATGTAGTAGAATTGATGTCTTTAGTGTGCTCACTATCGATCGGAGGCGTTTATGAATGTATTTTTGTTTGTTCAGATTTGCTGCCGTAAACGGTCGGTTACGATGGTGTTACGGTCGTATACGTTGCAGTGCTTGGTCGTTTCCTGTTTATGATACGGCCGGATACGATCGGATACGGCTTCTAAGCAGTCGCTGTGTTCCGCCGTATGCGACACGGCGATATACGACCGTAATACGGCGCATACCAAAGCGTTAAAATACGGCCCGTATACGGCCGTATCTAGTCGTCATAATGCTCGACCTGGGAAGTGGTGTATTATCTTCTACTCGTTCACTCATGAAAGTGTCTGCGACAATTTATTGCATGACATCAGTTAAAGTTTAACCGAAGATTTTGGATGTGTAGAAATTCGAATCTGCTATCAGATTTTCGAATTTTGTACTAGATTATTTCTTTAAACAAAGTATTCCTTCTTCATGATGAACTCGTATCATTTCTACGATAAGGCTAGGATTTTCCTATTTATAATAGGTATCACTGTATTTCTGTTTCTTTTCCTATCATCCAGAATAACAGAATTAAATGAAAAGACTGTAATAGTGACCGGTAAGATTTATGTTAGCATTTCTTCATTAGCACTTTTCTAGAAAATAGAATAACAAAAGAACATGTAGATATTTATTGTTACAGACAAATGAACTGCAGAAAAAGAGAGGAATCTTTCAAGAGCAACTCCAGATTATATTACGATATTTCAACAATTAGGATCCTAACTTATTTTCATGCAAGAGATTCGAACTAGGAGAGATATCTGGAAGTCAAGAGAACAAGAAAACCAAAAATTTTGAGTCAAAATAAACGGTCTAATTTTACTGTTTCTCTTAGTCTAATGCATACATAAAAGACACTTTCATACTACTAGTTTTACTGTATACTCAATATTAATTTCAAAAAAATATTTAAGGAACCAAATTCCCCCCCCCCCTCTCCCCAACGAAGACCGGAATTCGAAACATTAATCCTGCAGTCCTTAGTACGAAAACTCCTGTTTTAATAATACTATGTCTATCCAGATCAGTATGTTTACACACTAATGACAGATCTATGCATCTTCTAGAATGATATGAAGTTCACATTGATGAAAGATATTTGTTAGTCATAATCGTGCATAAACATCACGATACTCAAACGTTTTAGTGAATAGTTTATCAAGAAACCTCATTAAAATAAATGTCCCTTTATAAACATAAATAACAAAAAATATTCTCGTTGTCAAAATTTTATTGACGACATAGGATGACAAGAAAATGTTTAAAAACATTGTTGTTCTACATATTTATGACGGAATCACTTCTAGTTCTGTGTATTTTACAGAAATACTCACTCAAATTGAGACACAGTTCCATGAATGAATTGCATCGTTTGAAATAAATCTTCTGATGAACGAGGAACATTCACGTCTGTAAATCTAATTTCAGAAGTCAATAGCTGATCTGTTCTATCTTAAAAGACAGATAATGTTCCCTTTCGATCATACAAAAGGTACCCATTAGATGAAAAGAAATGCTTTTTGAGTACCATTTTGCTTGAGACCTTAATAAAACACTTGAACGAAACAACGATTTAATTCCAATATTCTGCATCAAGACAAATATACGACGAAGTGTGCTGTCTTGCTTCCAGAAACCATACACAATTATCAGTGCGTAATTGAGAGAGCAAGAGAGAACTTTTGTATTCTTCTGCCTAAAACGTACATAAACACATCACTTTCAGCTTTTTCTTAGCACAATTATTCGCTTCTAACATTTTTGTGAAGAATTCGTCTACTGAGAGTCTCTTTCATCCTTTCGTGCTGAATTCCACTACAGACATAATGATGACAAAAGGAATAATTGTGGTTTGTGCTGAGGAGACCAAATGTTACTCAACATGAAACTACACAGATTTCTAAAAGTAAACTGATGTGTATTATAAAAGCAGTTGTTAAAGTTGAAGACAAGTTCTACGGATTCTAAAATAACTTTGCATTCATTCGATCATGTTTGTGGATGATTCGCTGAATTTTCTGATGAAGCTCATCCAAACCGATTATAATGACGAAGAAAATATTTGATTAGCCAGAACTATATGTATACTGCTGTCGCATGATTGTGACAACAGCATAGTCTCTGTGAAAGTGTCACATAAGATCAATCTCTAAATCTATCTAGAGGCACAACTGATAATCAAAGTTGTATGCCCAAAATGCACTATTTTTGTATTTTATAGGTACTCATCACTAGCAGTTTCAAAAGCATGAATAAAGTATATGGAAGAACTCTTCCGCAACAGGTAAAGTAAAAACTTCCTATTCCCCGTATATTTCGGATATCAGAAGAAGCCATTCTTTTCTTCTATGCGTGTACCTAATCTCGAGCTAAATAAGAGAAAATAAAGGAGCCATTATACTAAAGAACATTGCTTTCAACACGTGAGAATCAAATTTGTATGTACTGTTCGAGTTTGACTTAAATGAGTTCTAGGTAAGAGTACCTGGTAACTTCGATATCAGAGTCTGGTTTAGTTAAATTATCATATTACGATACAGAGCGTCGTTCTTCTAAATAGAAAATATCAATTGATTTCAAGATAACACATTATACTCCACGGAACATACAGTTTTTTTCCGGAAGAATAATATGATACAACCAGTGAATATTACATTTTTTTCAGTTTTAGTTGATAGGTATAGATGAAAAATATTTTACACAACACGATTTTTATTTAAGGTAGGACTAATATTGAGAGAAGACGCTAGCTTGGCGTTTTTTGAATAGAAAAATGCCATGGATTTCAGTCGAAGATTTACTGTAATGAATATTACGATGCTAGTGTTTAGTGCATATTTTTTCCAATCTGTATAAAAGAGAGCACTACCCACCGCATATTCCATGGTAAACATACACATAAAATTGTCCTATTTGCATCAACATATTAGTTGTGATCCAGTAGTAATATTGTTCATAATAAATTAAATTTTTTACAAACTTAGTTTTAATAGCGCAATGATATACAGTTTTGAATTGTATATTCATCAAGATGGAGAATTAAACAGTGAAACCTTAAGAGACCATCCTAAAAAGTTGTAATTGTGTGATGTTTGCACGAACAACATCAAATGAAAATGATTACATATTAATGTTCATTCACTGTAGAATATGATACAACCAGCAAATTTTCGAGTGAATACAAAAAACTTACCATCGATTTCGTCGAAATATGTTAATGCTAGGTTTGTGCATAAAAGTTTTTGACAACGCATCTATGTAATATGATTTATATTTGTGCAGAAAGGATGAAGAAGATGAAGAAAGAAGCAACACACGTAGAAGAAACATTTGTATACTCATCGCAGCTATTCTGATATTGGCTATTGTGGCAGCAGTTATCGCTGTATACATAGTGTTTATTCGTAATATCAATGCAGCATCGTCGATAACGACAACAACAACAACAGGCAAGTAATACATACAAACAACATGATTCTATCATGAATAGTGATTGCGTGCATTCTTTTTTCGAATTAAGTTCCTCTAGAAGTAGGTTTAACCTAATTGTAGACTTGATGTATGATTAAAATGCATCAAGATCCTCAGAGTTAACAAATTATGGCTCCTTGAATAATGACCGTAGAAAGTCAAAATAGTGAATATATTTGGATAAAAACATTATAGGCTCTATACGTCACATCTCATGATTATTATCAATTGACTTAAAATATCAGTGGATGAAATATTTAGTGTGATCGTCGAAAATCAGATATAGAAAACAAAATTTTGAGCAGAAGCTTGCGTGTAAGGATTCGACGAGAGAGCCGCATGTTCTAAAGAATACCTATGCGTCATTAAGCAAGCCTGTTCGGAAAATGTATCACGTCATTATACCGTTATATGCGGAGAGCGTACAAATTCCATCCAGGGATGTACCGCTCCCGTTCGAGTACAATCTATAAATGATGTCTGGCCTTATGAAGCCATTTCTTCTCATCTTATCTATTACCTTTATCTTTCTGTCCTTGATATTTCTCTTTATCTCTTATACTCCTTCGTTCTCTCAAACGATTGAGTGTTCAAGCGTGTGCTTTATATGTAATCATCACAGTCATGTGATAGTTTGCAATATTATGAGGAAACACTATAGTAGTTGATTAGACGTGTCAAACCTAAGACTGTTAGTTTTTATTCTCATGTCTGGGAAGTTAAAGCGAAGTTTTGCGACAAGGCACTGGTAGACTTTTATAGGCTTGTCATTGTTTCAACTCAGATAAAAAAATAAATTTCAAAATGAATAACGTTCTTTGAATGTGGGTGCCAAAAGACAGGGAAATCTTCACAACCCTAGCCGAAATGTGCTCAGAGAGAAGAGGTCGGAATAAGCGATCAATGCTGGTAACTATGAACCACGACACGAGTCTTACATCTAGGTCTGACAGTATACTATTAGTCTTCGGTATCAATAGCATTTCAAAAATTTCACTAATCATATCTTTGCTTTCGTGCTTATTCAGATTTTTCAAGCGTTCACTATATTCGCATTCCTGTTGCCATAGAATGCAGAAATCACGTGTAGCTTCTTTTAACAACAATGCCTTCGGTATGACCCTCAGAATCTTTATTCACTTACCAACAGGGGCTGTCACCCAATCATTTCGTTTTACCTACGCACATAAGTAAGACTTGACATTTTTTATCGTAGTAATCCGATAAATTAAATATTCTTTACGAAAAGTAGCCATAACTATTTTAGAAACCACAACTACTACAGCGACAACTACTACTGCAAGTACAAGCACTAGCACAAGTACAACAAGTACAACTAGTACTACTAGTATCACGAGTACTACCAGCACTACAAGCACAAGTAGTACTACGAGTACTACCAGTACAACAACTAGTACCAGCACTACAAGCACGAGTAGTACTACGAGTACTACCAGTACAACAACTACAACAAGTAAGTAAAGTCCAGCAAGTTACGTTAGTACATCATAGACTGAAACTCTCACTCTCAAGACTTGCCAGGTTCACATAAAATGACTGCTTGAGTTTAGTATCCTAATGAGACCTGTCTCACGAAAGGTTCCCGGTAGCTTACTTTTATAGAAAATTTTTCTTCTGCTTACAACAAAAGAATACCTACACTGATATTACTTATGTATGTAGTACTTGAGCGTGGTGTGAGTTGTTGTCGAAATAAATCTTCTCTCCAATCAAAGTAACCGTGCCCCACTCACATCCACAGCTCTCTGTGATATTCTCAGACAGAAATTTACGCAAAAACAGATAGCAAGACTTTTGCATCACCCGACATTACCCTTCTCATACTATCTAGATCACCACTTGAATCTACTGATCACAACTTCTTCATGTGAAAGAAAAGTTGAAAGAAACGTATTCACTAAAACCTTTCTAGCCAGTGATAAATCATTTATCAACAATTTTCGCAAATATTTGCTTTTTTCTGACGATACTTCTGCAGATTGAATGTGTTATGATCTTCATTCAAGGGGGTAAGTGCTAGCAACCAGCAACCTGGCACCTTGGCACCTGTTCAGCACTTTTCGGCGCTGGGTGCCAGCACTTACCCCCTTGATTTTTCCCTTCTGAGAGAAAGCACACGTTTATTGAAGAAAATAAAATCATGAAAAACTCGTAAAATGTACACTCTAAAAAGAATAATTTCCATACTGAACTTTAAAAAGTTGAGCCAATAGTACCAAACCTAACGAGTTTCTTCCTGTGTGCCCACGAGAAGAACCTCTGTTGTTAGAGTGTAGTAATTGAACCGTTTACAAAAGAGATTAAAAATATGATCATCTAAAT